CATAAATATTTTAAGCCTTTTTAGACTTTATTTGACAAGTTTCTATAGGTGCCCTGCCACAGAATGGCGACCTGTCCAGGTGTGCCCTGCCTCTCGCCTGTAGACTGCCGGAGATAGGCACCGACCCCAACGTGATCCTGACAAGGACTGAGCGGGAGAAAATGGATGGATGGATGTTTCTATTGGACACTGAAGAAGGACTATTGAGTTTCTGTTGTCTTTCTTTTCTGTTTCCATAGAAAGTATTCCTGGCACAGTTATACTGTTAATCTGCATCCCTCTCTCAGATAGAGTCTAAGATGAAATTATTGCTGCCAACTGTGTGCCTTTTTCTCTTCAATCTTATGAAAAGTACGCCAGGTTCACTGGTTCTATACCTACCTTCTGTCCTTTCAACCTTCATTTGGTTCAAGCAGTTAGTCTCTCAAGGTGATTGTAAACCTTGTAAAGGTTTCATCTGATTTAAATTGAGTTTTTCATCACAGCATGTAGAAATTGCTGCAAAGTCATTAACATAATGCAGTGAGCTGGGCGTGCCCAAAACCCCTACATATTTACAATATTAAAGAACCAGAATTCTGTAGAAGTGATCAGATGTGAATGTAGTTGTTTTGTGGCGATTCAATAGATTTGAACTGAAATTAATCCAAACCAGGTTGTTTCTAACTGGATGTGGTTTTCGTTTGGTTGTCGGCGGTAAAATAGTAAATGGTCTGTTTTTGTATAGTGCTTCATTAAGTCCAAGGATGCCTAAAGCTCTATGCAATACAGCAAAAACTATGCTGTAATAACTCTGCATTTGATAAAGCAGATAAAGGTTACTTCACAATACAATCAGATGACAATTTTAGAAAGTAGGGTTTACAAATCTATATTCTTTAGGGCTTTTTGAACATTTTGTACTGCATACGGTGCAACAGTAAAAATTGCAACAGTGTACTTTGGTGCTTCTGAATTAGGTTTCCCAGATGTAGAGTTAGTAGAATCAAACAAGGAGTCAAAAGTGATAAATGCTCATTTAAAAAAAATTTAAATCATGGCCTTATCTCCAATAATAATTAGATGTTTCACACACAAAAAGTGACTTCATGACTTTCCAAAACTTCCTGGCATCATAACATTTTTTTAGAGGTGGCAGACAAATAATATTCAGAATTTTTTTTTTATAATATCCAATAGTTCAGAGAAGCACAACCTCTTCTCTATTCCCCGTTATAGGGGCATGTTTACAAATATTAAAAAAAAAAAAAAAGAAAAACTGTTATAATGGCCAATGCTGGCCCCTCTTCTGGGATTAACTCAATTCTGCTCCAATCAAAATTATAATTACCGTATGAAAAAATCCCCTGCTGATCTAAAGAAAAAAAAATGTTATTCCTCTTAGAGATGACTCATGGCTGTGACTTAGGGACCTTGGTATTTATTTAAATTAAGACACAATAGCCCTTTATTTTATTATTTATGAAAGTAGGCAGACAGGAAAGGAGATTGGAGACAGGGGGAAGACATACAACGGAAGTCTGGCTGGCGATGGCTGTGGCAAGGACCAAAGCCTCTGTACACAGGCTGCATGCTCAACCCCTACACCACTGCCTCGCGCTGGACCTTGGTATTAATTAAAACAGAATCAATGAAGTAGTCACTTAAATTCCTAAGTAAAAACGGGTGAAAATATGTTAGAAACATTGGTAACAATTAGGTTGATAAGACTCGACGAAATCTAAAACATGTTACACTTGGTCGAGTGGATTGCAGATTCACAAAAAGATTTTTAATCCTCTTTTTTTTTGTCTGGATAAGAGTTGAGACAAAGATTATAAATATTGTCAAAATGAGGTTCTTTGTAATTTCCAAGTTTAGACCTGCAAGCTCCTACCGCTTACAGGCTCATGGAAATATAGTTTAAATACAAAGATTGCCTCTTTCATTTGGTGGGTCAGTGTGATAGACATATCCATCAGTTTTACTGATTGTGTCCATTTTGTTAAAGAAGGTTTCAGATATGTTCGTATTCATTAAATGAACCCACATTTGAACCAAATCCATTTTGACAACAGGCTACAAATATTAAAACAATGGCTTAAAATCTGTTGGTGATAAACGATTTTGAAGCTCAGGGTTGTCTTCTGGCATTAGAATCAAAGTCTTGTGATAAATGACCTGGAAATTGTGCAACATCATCCGTAAGTAGTGTTCAGCCAAAAAAAACAAAAAAACTTGTTATACTCACAAAATTGGGTGATCAATTTATTGCTGCTTTGTGCAAAGATAATACAAAAAGCATAGTAAGAAAAAAATGTTGGACTTGGCTAGTGAGATAATTAGATAATTTGCCAGGAGCCAAAGCTGCAACCTAAGCCTGGGTCCTGGGTCTGTTGGTTAACTAGTTGTTTCTAATCAAAAAAATTAACAACCAAATGGGTAGTGTTGGAAAGTTGGCATCCTGGAATCGCTGCTAGATCAGGCATCCTCAATTCTAGCCCTTGGGGGCCAGTTCTCTGCACCTTTTAGACGAGTCTATCTGAGATAAATAGTCAGGTCCTTAGCACGACTCCAAATAACCTGTCTGCATACTGAGGAGGTAATTAAGCCTTTTGATTCAGTTCTGTGAAAATAGAGACATGTTAAAAAGGAGAAGCACACCAGAGCTCGAGGGGAGGAGTTGTGGAAGGTAGCACTCTGGATCCAGCAGACCCCTGACCCTATAAAGCTGCTCGTCGCTCCATTAGAAATGTGTTATAAATAAAGGACAAATTTCAATTTAATGTATAACTGTAATGGAAAAAATGATGATTAAATTGTGCTTTTGCTAATTATAAATGTCTGGATTTTAAAGCAGACAAAATTTTAAGAATTCACATTGCATATTTGGTCCAAAATTACCACCGTGCATCCTGTTTCTCCACATGAATAATCAACAACGCTCCTCCCTCTGCTTATTAATGGAAAAGAAGAAATAGCATAATATTTAAAATGTGCATTTTTTAAATCTTTAAATTCCTCCTTAAATGCGCCCTTTTACATACTACAATTTAAATACTGTCATTCACCCCATAAAGTGCGCTTTTTACATAGCGTTCCTTTTGTCGATTATGTCTTAAGTAAAAACTAAAGGTACTGTAAATCATTACAGAAATTATAATCTTACTCAGATCAGAGAAGTTGCTTAGAGTTCCAGAAGGCAGCTGCTAACACACCGGGCTCAAATCTCATGAAATGGCATTGAATCACAGTTAGAAAAGCATTTTATACAACTCCAGTGTGCCACAGACTCACACATCATCAAGAATAATCCTTACATTTCTGTAGACAAACTTGGCAATAGTAGTCAGTAAAATATCTGTGGTTTTAAGTTTGTAAAAGTGTGTATGTATCACTGTTTTAAATTTTTTTTTTTAAACTCTTAAAAAATTAAGCAACATTACGTGAATTGTTTAATTAAAGCAGACATTTTCTGAAATGGTTCCTTATTTAAGAATTGTTTCTTTTTCAGTGTCTATATTCTATTAATCTTTTTAGTATTCAGTTAACTGTCTTTTAGTGTGTTTTGATGTGTCCTGCAGAATTTCAGCCCACATACACATTGAAAATGAGATATTGAACTTAACACGGATTAACTCCAGTTGAATAAAATAAACAAACAAAGATTTTAAAAATTGCATGCTTCCATTTGAAAATAGGAGTTTCCACCACAGAGGACAGTCCAGTGCCTTTTCCTTATACTCTTGAATTGGGCTTTGCTTCACAATTCTCTCAAGATTGGTTATCTCTGTTTGTGCAAGTTTTTATACCACACTTTTTCCTCCACCTCAACTTTCCATTAACTTTCCATTTCCATCCGTTTCAAGTAGTTTTACTTAGACAAGCTTGTTTTAAACAAATACGTACAGTTGAGGCACACTTTCTTCTTTTTTGCAATGAAGACTTGTTGGATTAATGTTGTTATCCATCTGCTGAGTCTGCCCTGTCATTTGGCAGCTGAGAGAAAATACAGTAAACAGTATACAGCTTTTTAACCTATCTATACATATCATACACATCAGGCATACATATCATTTTGTAAGTTTTATAACTTTAAGAATATTAAATCTGTTTTTATGATCATGGGTAATGTGGACCAGTTACTCAGTACTTGATATCTATTTTACCAGAAATTTTTTTCACTCTAAAAATATGATGAAGTAGTGCTACTTTTACTTAAAAAAATGTGGTTGTTCTATGCACCTCTTCAAAACATTTACATAATATTATCATGAATTTAAATGCCTTAACTTGTGTGACTTCAGGTGCTTATTTCCAGGTACTTAGAGATTCACTTCCATACAGAAAGCCTATATTCTTATCTTCAGCTACCACAGTATACATGTCAGATTAAACAGTACTGCTTATACTTTAGCGATGGTACCAAGGTGTTACTTTATTGTATCTCTTATGCTATATCCATTAGTTGTGCTGTTCTTTTCACATCTCTTTGCAGGTGATGAAGCAGACTGAAGATGTTTTATTGTTATCTCCCTTTAATCTCCTCTCTCTTTAATCTTTTCTCCTTTTTTCTGTTTTTCCTTTCCTGTTCTACTTACATTGCAGTGTCCATATAATCTGTAAAACTCCCTGCATAATTATAATAAAGCAATTTATATGCATAAAACAAGCAGAACACTATGGCAATAGCCCTACTGCTCCACTTGTGAAAGCAAAATCTGTTGGGCTCTTTTTTGGCATCAAGATAATTATTCTTATTGCAACATACACTGTTAGGGAAAAAAATGGGTGATCTATCCACCTCTGCAAAACATTTACATAATTTTAGAATACATTTAAATGCTTTGATATGTACAACTTGTGCGTTTTTAAATATATTTTATGAGAATTGCATTTTTTTTTTCTCTTGGGGATGAGATAGTCCCAATGCTGGGTTAACCCTTGGTACGGATTGCTCCGCTAATGTATCCGATCAGCGGTTAAATGAACACGTGGCGCACACGTCACGTGAATATCAGCACCCTGGACAGCGGCTCCAGCACCGCCCACAGACGGCAGGGCGACGGCCGCCTCAGAGAAACACCGCGGGCTTCTTAGATGAGGAGGAAGTTGATGTTTGGAGAATAACATCCCAGTGTCTACATCTTTAAGGATCCGGATCGAGGAACCGACTCAGATACGGATTCCAGGGAGTTCCCTCTGAAGAAGCACTTTATTGCTGCGGGCCTGAGATGATGTGCTGAGGATGGTGCTCGGCTGCTTTTGCCAAGCCAGCATGGACGGCTGCTGCTGCTGCTGCATGATTTCTGCACATTTTGTGTGTGGAGGAATCCTCCATCTCACCACTATTCTCTGGTCACGGCGCATGGGAGGTTGGGGGAAGAGTTGACGCAAAACTGATATGCGATGCTCAATCAGAGCTTGGAAGAAAACGAAACCACATATAATTGAATTTGAAACAATCAAAATAAAACTTTATGGTGTGGAGCTCATTCCGGAGGACAATGTGTGGGACAAAGCCTGCAGAGACAGCCAGGAAATGATGAATGGCTCAGCGGAGAAACAAAGGACTCCAACATGCTGCCTACCTCCTCTGTTGTGGACTAAAAAAAACTAACATAAATGGCTTCAGTCAGTCAATCGACCCTCCTTTGAGACCCATGTTGATTTTTTATCATACAGGGGGAGCATATTTTGAGGGAAACACATTGGACAGCTCCTAATTTTCATTACCATTTAAAACGTCCATTGAGCCCTTCTGGACCTTTCTATTTAGACTTTAATGGGCTCAGGGCTCTTGTTTTCAAGCCCTGTAATTGAATCCTGATAGAAAACGCCTCCATTCATAGAGAAAAACAACAAGCCCTCCTCATTGGTCAGATTGGAGTGCACATGCTATAACAACAGGATATGCAAACAGCCATGGGCTGATCCAACAGCCTATCATCTTTCGAGCATGCCTTTAAGATCCGGATTTGTAGTGTTGCTGCTATTTTTTTAATTCATCAAAATGTGAACACTTTAAGAAGACCAGTTCTATAGTAGCAGTAGTTATATTAACAGTTATGATGTTTTGGAGGAAAAACAAGGCTGTGCCTGTGCTGTGAAGCTGCTGAGACATGTTGAAGTATTGTCTTCAACTTGTTTTCAATGAACTCAAAGTGTTGCTGCTGATGCACTCAGAATCAAGCGGGAGGGCTGACCCGGTCACAGGTACAGACCCACAGCAAAACAGGATGAGAGGGTGTACCATTGGAGGCTGTGGTTGGCCCCAGATGAGCTGCTCCCACCAGGATGATGAAGAGGAGTACTACGGGTCAGCGCCCCGGCCACGTAGCCTGGCCTTTGAGGACAAAGAAGGAGCCAAATCCCAGGGAGGACAAGAAGGAGTTCTGGATATGTCCTCCCTACCAAGCCTATCTGAGAGTGGGCTGCAAGGACAGCAGTGTCGGATCTGCTTCCAGGGGCCAGAAAAGGTGAACTTTTATGCTTAAACATGGCAGGGATTGGTACAGCCAAGTGGGGAATGATAGTTTTTGCCTTAATCAGGAAAAAATTTTCTCCACATGGAAAATTTTTAATTAACAATAAGGGATTTACTTTTATAAGGAATATTAAACATTTTTTTATTCTATTACAAAGAAAAGCTGACACACACATATTCATGTGTGTTCTTACCCTTCTAATCTGATACTCCTTAAAATAAAATAAAGTCCACTTGTCTGTTGTTTAACCTCAGTATAAATCCAGCTGTTTCGTAAAGGCCTCATAGATTTGTTAAAGATAAAGCCATAAATAGGTTACGGTAATAAAACAGAATTCATAACATTAAATGTCTGGCAGACGACTGTCTAAACGATGATCTTGATGATATAGAGATCCAACAAATACCTATCCATGATCTTGAGTTATTGGTCTGTAGCGACCCCTGTAGTATACCCCGATTTCAAGGCAAAGTTATGCACTGACTAAGATAAAACCAAAACTGAGTGATCTAATAATAGTTTCAGGTAGACAAAGGGCATCTGTTAAGAATAGACTGAGGAGAAATTGCAGCATGATAGAGACCAACACAAAGCAGCTCAGAGCTGTTAAACTAAAAAAAAAGAAAGATAGGATAGGATAGGATAAGATTTTTCAGCCTCTAATATGTTTCTCAAGGATATCAATGCTTAAAATACACCCATATTCCTATTTTGTATTTTTTTTCTCAACAGTGCATACTCTGCTCCACGATCTGATCATTATTTTGAAAATGATGTAACATTTTCCTTTCACCACCTTCACATCACTCACACACACCAACATATCAAATAATGTAGAATTTGTGTCTACAACTGAAAAATATGGAAGAGTTCAAAGGTCAAACAATATATATGCATTTAGGAGGTGCTGTGTGTTTAGAAAGAGCTTTTCTAATTCATCAGAATCCCAAGCTGCCAGCAGGGGGGGACCCAAGAGCTCTGGACTTCCAGCAATGAATATTTAGAAATCAAAACCTCCTACCTTTGGTCAATTTTGTCTGCTAAAGTCTCCTTAAAGGTGTCTTATTTCTACACATATATAGAAAACCAGAACTGCCAAATTAAAAAAATTATTATTCTACTATATTAGTAAAAAAATATAAACAGAACCGAGCAAGAAAACTAAATACTATCTTGCATTGAAAACAATATTAATAGTTGATAATCAGACTTTAACCTTGCTAGTTTTCTGTTTGAGCTGAACTGTGTAACAAAGAAAAAAAGCCAATCAGCAAATGAAATGAATTGGCTTATCTGTTAATATCATTTATTTATTTTAAGAAAATAATATTACAAGATAAACATTTGTTAAACAAAGAGGATGAACTTATTAGAGTTAAACGGAGTGATGGGTTGTATATATCAGTAAATAAGTCGTGGATTATTTGCTTGTAGGTGTAATTGTGCCATCAAATCTTTAAACTGTTTTCAGTGACCACAGAGAGACGTCACAAGTAACAGTTGTGGCATCTTCATGTAGCATCTTGATGCACAGGAGCCATAAGTGTAAATACAGCAGGTGGAAGTATACAAATCTTTTAAATACCAATTCTACAAAGTGCTGGTCTGAAACGGAACTAAACTCTTAAAGAAACCTGCAGGCGTCAGAAAGTTTTTGTTTCCCCTCCAGATATGAAAGAAATCAAAGACCTCTCACATCCCCTGAAGTCAGACAGCGAACAGAGCTGTCAGACTCAGAGCCTCCAGGGAGCTGAATGATTAAAAAAACCAGACAATTAATACTCTAGATGTTTTGGTTTTTTGATTTCCCTAGAGGCCTGGGGTAAATCATCACAAGGTAAGGCTGAATACATCCAGACGTAGACATTTAGCTGCAGATGGATCTTAAACATCTCATAAAGACACCTATTTAACGGATGTGTGAATATCTGTTTCCCAGGGTGCAAATATTACTAGTTTTCAGTCATTGTGAAATTAATTTTGTTTGAGCTTAAACTAGGTCATTCTAATACATTATTGTATTTTTTGTTTTAACATTCAGTTGTAACTCAGCTGATGACCTCCAGCAGGTTTTCTTCCAGTAATGCCCCTCAGCTACACCCATCTTCCCCATCCACCGTGACCAGCTTGCTGTTTTCAGTTGCTGCTAAAAACAGGATCTTTACAGCATAATACTGCCACTGTAATACTGTAATATTACTCTTGCAACATATGGCTTATGGTCATATCTTCCACCTCAGCTACAATTCTCTGCAGCTCTTCCAGAGCTGCAACACACTACTTCTCTGATTAATACTCGTCCCACTCAGCCTATCATCAATACCCTACATATTCCTTAGACAGCTTTTCATGCCTATGTCATTTTCTTTTGTAACCTTTTTTTTTGTCACTGTCAAAGCAAGGCAATCTTATTTGTATAGCAAATTTCAGTACATGGACAATTTAAGTGCTTTACATGAATTAGATAATAAAATAGAAGAAAGGTAAAAGCAGTATAAAAGCAAAGACATAAAAAAAAACAATTGGACTACAAAAAAGCTGAATAAAAGCAAGTAAAAAGTATATATATCTATATATATTTGCTTTTACATACACCTGTAATAATATTAATATCCTGTATAGCACTTCTTGATAGATGCAAACCACATTTCGTTGCTTTGTCCTCGTGACAGTGCAATGACAATAAAGTTGAATTCTATTCTATTCTATTCTATTCTACTCTATACAAAAAGCAAGAACAAAACAGCAGGTTTGGAAATCTAGAGCTCGTTTCCAGCTCCAAAGATCCTACCCTGAGTGGATTAGGGTTACCCTAAGATATTGTACACAAAAAGAAATAAATTGTCTGGTTATAATTGTTCACCATCCTATAAAACTACTAATAAAAGACCTTATGTGATTTTCTTAGTGTAACAGATATTAAACTAAAAGCCCCAGTTTATAAAAGCATCAGAAAACAATGAAGAAATATGCTCTAAAATAAGATGCCACTGCCTTTTATTAAGACATTTGCATACAGCTTGATACTGTGATGTGCTGAAGAGTTACAGTTTATATTTGTATAACTTAATTATTTTTCTTTTTTTTGTACTAAGCACATGTCTCTGGAAATCATAATCTGTTTCATCTCCATCAGAAAATTAGAGCAACAAAACGTCTGCAGCTGTCAAAAGTATAAAAAAAACAAATCCTGTTCAAAGTAGTTAAAAGAAGCTGCACTAGACGGGAAGGAAAGTGTCAAAGAAAAGAAGTGGAGTCAACAATATCTAAGGGTTTTGAAAATAGATGCTGGAGTTACTGGATCCTGCTCATCACTCACGAAGATAATTTATTACTGTGAGTAATGGCACAGAATAACGCAGGTGTATTAAATGCAGGATGAAACTGTAGTTCACTTTCCCAAGCCGATTTGTATCCGTCCAACTAAATCAAATGTTCCAGTGAAACAGAGTCACTGAACACAGACTGAAAGAAAAAAATGAGGCAGCTGGATGTTAAAAACCCTGATTGAATGGAATCAGAACTGAATCAGCTTTATTGACTGTGTGCACAAACAGACATTTGGCTTCAAATGCCCACATCATACAGACATAACATATTAACTCTGGAGACAAAAAAAAAACAGAGTGTGTGTGGATATGTATATACATTTAGCTTTTATTAATAGAAAAGAAGAAATGAAAAACAGAGGAAGCAGCCTGAGGGAAGAAGATGACTTAATGAAGCCTGTTTTTTTTTTTTTCTAATAGTGTTTTGTTTGTCTGACCTTTAGGTAAACGTCTAAGCAGTCTGTTTCATATGGCAAATGGACACATCTCCACCATCACCAGTACCCATGTGTTAAACCTTAAAGCATGCAATTGTTGTTTTTAAGGTTGTAACTGTTTTTATTATTTCAATTTTTCTATTGATGAGTTTCTTCATAACTTTTTTTTCTCCATTTATAAACACATTTCACAACTAACCAAGGTCCACAGCTGGTAAATGTCCGTAATACCGTCCACTGGGTTCGTTATGAATTCATAGGTGATTCTCCAACTATATATAAATAATTTATGTCTAGAGCAGTCCATCTTTAGACCAACAATAGATTAGACTTCACCGTGAAATGATTGACGGTGGCATCAGTTCTTTATTCTAATAAAAATATTAAGTGCTTATTTGTTTTTTTTTTTTGTTTTTTTTTTGGGAGGGTGGGTTTTGTTTTGTTTTTTCTAAAAAAGAACACATGTCACTTGGGATCACTGTCATGTCCACCAAATAATTTTTAACAATTTTGCACCTTTGTAAACCTGCAATCACATCAATTGTCACATAGCAGGAGTGCTAATGGCAGGAGAGCAATGGTAGCTCAATGCAAGGAAGGAAAACAGGAAGAAGAAAAAAAAACAAAAACAAAGAAACCTTTGCAAAACCAAGAGTAGATTTATTTGTTATCATTTCCAAAAAACTCACATTTCCTTCGAGACTACAAATAAATGATAAATATACCATTTTATTTTGTGCATTGTCAGTATATTTTATGTTAACTTTAACACAGAGATTTGTATGCTAATGCTTCTTAACCCCTTGAACCCTACGGACCCACCGGCGGGTCCAGCCGCTACATGAACTCTATAATAATTTTACCAAACCCCCAGTATTGATGTAAAAAACATATTTGGCACAGTTTGGTGACATTTATGGATAAATGTGCCAAAATGGCCTCTCCGCCTAAGAAATTTCTCACTAATACCATTCTAAAATAAATATAATTCATCTGATTGAGTCCAAATTTGGTATATTTTTACACAACATTTAGATTTGAAAGGCTGTACTACTTTTTTGTGCTATAAATAATATTTTGGTAGTGTTTTGCAATGTTTTTTTCAAAGAAAATTTTGGCGAGGTTCAAAAAATGCAAAATATTTTGTATTTTGTCCCTAATATTTCAGGCAGGGTCAAAGCTACAATGGTGCTGACACCAGAAAACCATTCTATGACTTCTTACCTTTACAGACGTACCAAAAGTTTCTTCTTAAATCTAATAGCTTTGTGGCTATAAGTGATTTACTTTTGTGTGTTTTTGTCAGGCAGAAATTTATTTATACCCCCTTAGGGTGTAAGAGGTTAACATTTTAAAAGAAATGCTCAAAACTGTGATTTCTCCAACAATCATTTCCATCACTATATTAAAGAAATCTATATAGAATTTATATAATTTAATTACAACATATATCAGTTTTTTTAAGTAGAAATATATATATATATATATATATATATATATATATATATATATATATATATATATATATATATATATATATATATATATATATATATATATATATATATATATATATTGAATTTTCTGAAAAAAGTCATGAAATTTGTCTGCAATTGGAGAATCACCCACAGGCTTTTACAGTCTTCTTTTTTTACCCAGCAGCTTTTCCCCTTTTTGCCCTGCAGGGGGAGCTGTTGAGCCCTTGTCGCTGTGATGGCTCAGTGCGTTGTACTCATCAGTCCTGCCTCATCCGCTGGATCAGTGAGAGGGGCTCCTGGAGCTGTGAACTCTGTTATTTCAAGTACCAGGTCTTAGCCATCAGCACCAAAAACCCTCTGCAGGTACAAAAAACAGACCTAATAACAGAGCCTATCTATCTATCTATCTATCTATCTATCTATCTATCTATCTATCTATCTATCTATCTATCTATCTATCTATCTATCTATCTATCTATCTATCTATCTATCTATCTATCTATCTATCTATCTATCTATCTATAAAAACATTGTTTCTGTCTCTGTTTAAGTGGCAGGCCATCTCTCTGACTGTGATTGAGAGGGTGCAGATTGCCGCCATTGTCCTGGGCTCTCTGTTCCTCTTTGCCAGCATCTCCTGGTTGGTGTGGTCCTCACTCAGCCCCTCGGCAAAGTGGCAGCGGCAGGACCTCCTGTTTCAGATCTGCTACAGCATGTATGGCTTCATGGACGTAGTTTGTGTAGGTGAGGGAACTTTGTGTTCTGTCACCCTGTGTCTTGTAAAGGTGTTCATACCTTTTGAAGTTTGAAGAGTTATGATAGACCTTTTGGAAACAAACAGCATAATTTGGACTCAGGATGTCTTTCTCACTCAAAAAAAAAAAGTCTAGATTTGTTTACCAGTCTAAGTCTCCATTTAAGGACCAAGTAGCTCATGACTATTTATCTTTCTTTTTTTATGGATTGAGCAGTAAATCTCCAAAGCACACTTCTGGTACAGGCTGTACTTTCTGTACTCTTCTCTAATTGTTGTTGAACAAACACTTGTTTGTCTGTTTATAAGACTATTTCCTGACCCAGTCTCCCCCAACCCTTTGTCCCTTAACACCCAGGACTAATAATCCACGAAGGATCATCTGTTTACCGGATCTTTAAGCGCTGGCGGGCAGTGAACCAGCAGTGGAAAGTGCTGAATTATGAGAAAGCCAAGGATTTGGGTGACTCCAGCGGTTCCAACGATAAATCTGTCAGTCAGGTTGAGAGAAACTTTTCAGACGGAGTCACAGTCGACGGACAGAGAACAAGTCGGCATGTCAGGGCTATCCTCACCCACCACTGTGGCTACACTATACTGCACATCCTAAGCCAACTGAGGCCCTCCAACCTGCATGGGGCCAACCAGGAGATGGTCATGAGAGTCACCACGGTGTAAAGCCAAGTCCTAATCAGAACAGTGCTTCGGCCATGGCAGACGGGGAAATAAAAGTGCTGATAACAACAAATCCTAATGTGCCATAAATAAAACAGCTACGTAAAGTGACAACATATGTTCTCAGGTTTTAACTGAGCCTTGAGGAATCATCTCTTTCTGACCAGACCATTACAGTGAGGTGTAGAACATAGGGGCTGCTGGCTATAAACACATTTATAGAAAGAAAAAAACAAACATTTACTGAGAAATACTGATTTCTAAAGTCTCCCAGTCTCAATTAGAGCTAAAAATGAAAGTAAAAATTAAGTATAATATAATTTTACTTTGTATTTAATGTCCCATTAAATACAAAAAAGTCCCTTTCTTTTTCCCTTCATCCCTGTTATTCCTTATTTCCTGCCTCTAGTTTTTCCTTCCTTCCTTCCTTCCTTCCTTCCTTCCTTCCTTCCTTCCTTCCTTCCTTCCTTCCTTCCTTCCTTCCTTCCTTCCTTCCTTCCTTCCTTCCTTCCTTCCTTCCTTCCTTCCTTCCTTCCTCATAGTGTAATCTTTAACCATCTGATCATTATTTTGAAACTTTAACTTCTTCAGTTTCACAGTGAAGGTAAAGCATGGGGAGGAAAGTTGAGTCAAGAAAAATTTTGAATTTTCCCCCAGAATTTCTGGGGAACCTTTTATTTATAAAGCTTGTTAAAAATTGTGACAAATCCTCCAAAAGAACACTCTTCATTTTCCAGTTTATTTTATATAAAAAAAATGTTATGGATGTTATTTAATGCTCCCATCCCTTCCCCTCATGTACCTTCACAAAAGCAGAAACACAAATCTAGACATGCAAACGGACAAAAGTGATGATGCAAAAGTTTCACACCCACCTTCAGATAAAGGTTACTGTGGCACATCTGTTAAAATGTTTTAAAATGATGTCTGTATTAAAGTGTGATTTGATTGATGGCCAAATGTGTCTTTTCATGGTTGTCTGGCATTTGAAATAAACATTTAGATGCAGACAACTAAATATTATTTACTATATTATCAGAATATGTAAATTATTTCAAAATAAGTGTTGTTGTTTTTTTTATCTACTATATGAAATTGCCCAGAAATGTTTGGGAAATTTAAGCTTTAGTTTCCAGTGGGACAAATTTGAAAATAATTTCTTCCCTGTAGTACATAGCTACTAGGTTAGAGCTATATGCATAAGTATTTTTAGCCTTTCCTTGCTGCGGAATCGGCTCAGGTAGTGAAGAGTTCAGGCCTTTTTCTGGTGTTCTCTTTACCTTATCCTGCAGGTTACTAAAAAGATTTACAATTAAAACCAGATTTTTACATACTATACATACATACTATATTCCCATCGTAATATTTTCAGATAGAAGAGGGCTTTTATGTCTCACAGATGGATATACTGTATGTTAGTGTGAAATATGTGAATGAACCCCAGAGAAGTGTCACAGGACTTCTCTGGGGCCCAACTGAATTGAAAAGATGATTCAATTCAGTTTATTTACATAGCGCCAATTTGCAACACGTCACCTCAAAACACTTTACTATTAAACAAGATCATACAGTTAAATTGATTTAAAATTTTCTAATGCATGAAAGAAAGTTGATTTTTTTTTTTTACCTTGAAACAATTCATGCATCTCCAGTAGTCACCTAGAGAAGATCCTCTGAAAAGGCATAAAAAGACTGAGCACAGTTAGTACTACTTCTAGAATTCTAGAATTGAACATCTATGGAAGGGCTCACTCAGCTCATCTTTTTTGATATATAATTCACATTAGATGATTGCTTTTGTTCTAAAATCTGAAGAAAAAAAATGTAATTTACTTAGCTGTGAAAATACATTTGATTTAGCATAACATATATATTTTTAGTGGTCCTTCTGGCATCAGACAAAAAAAGAAGGGTTCTGATTACTGCCATTCACCTATTAAAACAGTGCAGTTTGGATTTATTTTTATCATTCTCAAAAGACTGTTTTTCCATATTGAAAGTCTATTTTCCCACTTTTTAAAACAATTGAGCATAAAAAACACATGTGTAAAAAAATAAAGAAAGCCAATTAGAGGATTCTGTCATTTGATAATAACTTTAAAAAAAAACGTCAGCTGTTGAGACCAAAATACAAAATCAACACTCTTTTATTCATTCCAGCCTTATTTATAGCTGCAGCGAGGTTCTTGTTCAAACCTGGCAACCCTGGCCTCATCGGACGCCCGCTGATGACGTAGAACTCCCGCGACTCGTCACATGTGGAAAAACTGCAACCAAACGCTCAAATCCAGAGGGGTTTCTTTTTAAATTATCTGTTAAAGTTTGGACTGCGGTCCCTTTTTTCAATTCATCATGGCTTCGACATCAATGCCACAGAAGCGTTACTACAGACAGCGAGCGCATTCAAACCCGATGGCGTACCACACCTTTGATTAGTGAGTGGAGATCCCACCAGCTTCTACTGGCCACATTCACTACTGTGCAGTCTCACTTAAGCTTATTGCTTTCTGTTTGGACTGGACAGACCTTCACTGCTCTGATTTTTGCTTTTTTTTTTATATATATATATACATCAGCAAAGTTGGAAAGATATAAATCTGAAAGGCACGCTATAGTCTATTAAAGTCAGTTTCAAGAATAACACTATATAGCAAGAACTACTTTAGTTAAAAGATCTCTCTTAAATTAAATATTGTGGAATTAGTTTATAATAAATCAGTTTTATCTTAATTTCAGTTTTTTTGGAATAAAATACAATTGAGTGAAATAAAAAAAAAAGGTTTACAGTAACCTGTGCAAGTAACACTGTGTTGAAATTAAGCTAAACCAGCATTTTATCTTGCATCCTTTAAATAAAGCAAGCTCAAGGATCTAACTATGTAAATAGTATAAATGTTAGATAAATCTGATGCCAAAAGCAGCTTTAAAGTCATTGGTCTTGTCCTGGATACAAAGATAATCTTATTTATTATTACATGTTGTGATAATTAAAAAAAACAAAAAGGTGGAATTTTGATACTTAGTTTAAAGGAAAACATCTGATCTTGGTTTGTATTTGCCCAGAAACTAGAAAATTATGTATTAATCTGGAATTTGAGGCCCCAAATCTAAAGAATAGGCACTTTTTTCAGTTTATGAATTAAAAAACCCACAAAAATTATGAATAAGGTAGTTACATTATAGATCAAAACTTTATAGAATTTAATACAGGGTGTGTGCACTTTGTAAGAATATATTTATCCATTATGTGATTAATAATTAATAGTTTATTGAAAGCATTTCCACATTCTTTGAAGCATCAGAAAGAGCCTTTGGTCTTTTTTTAGCTCCTGTCTCTTTACCCACCAGTATAGATTTTAAAGATTTCTTTGCATCATCTTCGCCGTTACTTCATCTCTTAGATCCACAACCTTATAGACGGGTCAATGCGGCTGATTAACTTTACACAATTTTGGACTTGCTCCCTAGTATTGAATATTGGTCAGTATCGGTGATTGTAAAGAGAGGATGGGTTTTCAGCCTTCTTCTGCATTAGGAGACTCTAAATGGCTCTACCAGTAGAAGACTGTCTCAGAATAGATCATTTAAATAATTCTTACATAACTCTCCTAAACTTAGTCTGGCAAAATGATCTAATTATCATGAGTTGAACTCTTCTTGGCCTGTAAGCGGCGCTCTCATTTTGTACTTTACGTCAGCTGGTTTCAGGATGCAATAATTCGCAGACATTTACCTGTTCAGAGTAAAAACAAGCAGCATTTAAATTAATTGTTTTATTCTGTGCCTCTCGAGATATTATATGAGTGTATTACTTTAGAGGAATTCATTATTTTAATAAGAAAATTGAGGCTTTGACCTTTGAAATGCTGTGATAGATTGTGATCATTTCTGGGTCTCATGCTAAGAGTCATTCATTCATTTTCAATGACTCCATGTTCTCCTCCCCTCCAGCCCAGTATGTCCTGAAGAGATGGACTGGTCCAAGCATTATCCAGACCTCATTCCCGATCCCTCATCAGGGAAGGAAGCCCCTCGAGTGGAGTTTGCAGACATTGGATGTGGATACGGGGGCCTTTTAGGTAATCAGGTCACCTTTCTGATGGCCTGCTCTTTCTCTGCTTGTAAAAGAGTTTTGCATTGATCTGATATTTGCCTTTCTTTCTTCATCCTTATTTTCTCTTTCCAGTGGAGCTATCTCCTCTTTTCCCAGATAAGCTCATGTTGGGCCTGGAAATCCGAGTGAAAGTGTCTGATTATGTTCAGGACCGCATTCGGTCGCTGCGTGACCTGAACCCTGGAAGCTACCAGAACATCGCCTGCATTCGCAGCAATGCCATGAAATACCTCCCCAACTTCTTTTTTAAAGGACAGGTAGTTTTCTCTCTGATGCATTTTTACAAAAAAACATCTGGAGTGTTCTCTAGGATGTCCTTAATTGAAAACACAAACAGGGAGGTTAATGCCAGGACCCTTCAAAGATTAGTTGTTTTAACATTCACTTAGTTTTTATACAGGTACATTTACTTTTTCTGTGTCTGTTTCATGACTGAAATCTTTGTCAGGCGATTAATGACTCCTCAGCACTTATTGGACAGCCTCTTGTACCAGTCAAATATTATTGGTTTACCTCTCACACACATGTAGGTCAGAATCAGTAGCTTTGTTTCTCTCTGGGATCAATCCGTTTACCTCCTTTTATAACATTAAGTAATACATTTTTATATGAAATATGTATGCATATATATATATATATATATATATTAGTGCTGTCAAAATTATCGTGTTATTATCGCGTTAACGCAAGGTCATTTTAACGGCGATAATTTTTTTAACGTGAGATTAACGCTATGTGGTTTTATGGTACAATTTTCCAAGTACACCCCGCTGCAGCCTGTGGGAAGGCGGGGCTATTTTCCCCCAGTGTATGCATTTCTCATAGGCTTCGAGAGCGGACCTCCTCAAGGGAAAAAGACGCTCATACACTGGGTGACGCTAGTGCCTTTTCTTTAAGCCCCACCACCAACAAACAGGTTGAGTGTCTGGTAACTAGTAGCAACCTGAAATACGCTGAGAAAACAGATTACTGAGGTGAAATGGAATCTGCTACGGCACTCTTGCCGTCTGTGTACGCCACAGGTCGGTATCGTGTGTGTGTGTGTGTGGGTGGGTGGGTGCTTGTGTGTGTGTTCTCATTTTTGTTAAGAGGCTGAAAAGTAACTTTCTAGAGCATAGACTACCTTCATCTAGTGATGTCGGTCTATTGATTTTGATGTATTGATTGAAAATTGTTCATTATTATCTTGGTTAATTAACATCTAATGTTAACTCTACTAAATTTTATAGCAGTAGGGTAAAATGCTTGTCTTTGTTCAAAAGACTGTATTAACTGTAAAGACTGTCTTTTACATCAGCCTGTTTTCAGGGCCTTTTTTTTGGCTAGATATTTGTTATTTTTGGCATAAATCAGTATCTGTGACCTGTTTTCATTTTAAAAAAAGAACATTGGCACAAACCTAGCCTGTATGTATTTTTTTGTATGTCATCGAGAGTATTTAAATGATTTTCAATCAGGAAAAAAATGTGCGATTAAAATGCAATTAATCGCGAGTTAACTCAGGCATTGATGCGATTAATCGCGATTAAAAAAATTTAATCGATTGACAGCACTAATATATATATATATATAAATGAACACTCAGACACCCACACATTGTACTTTCCAGACTATATATATGGGCCACACTGTGCTAGAAACTGCTGATATATAAAGTGTCCCACACCAAACCTGTAGGGGGAGTTCTACCTATAATCCTTAGATTAGGGACAGAGAAAAATGCTAACTTCCATTAACTTGTTGGTTGCGGCAGTAAGACGTTGTGCAAATACCAAAATGCGAAATCAAATAATTTTCTCCAGCAGGTTTGAGAAGAAGCTCAGATTTTCGCAGCATTTCAACATGCAAAACGTGTAGAGAGCTCAAGGGATACCCATAACCTAGGGAGCATCTGTGGAGCATGAGGGTGGTAGTATCATGCTGACTCTGTTGGAGTAGTAGTGGCACTGGTGGATTAAACAGAGTGGATAGAGCAGTGACTGACGAAGGATGTTTCTAAATTAGCTGAGTAGTTTTATGGTCATAATCTGAACTGATCCGATTATTCCAACACAACAGAGAACCTAAACACCAGATTAAGCTAGCTTATGGTTAGCTTCATTTAGCTGCTGTAAAGGTACATTCACACCGAACACTGAGCCTGCGGTCATTTCTGATGGCACTGCAGGGTGCTCACCTCTGCATTTCAGATAGGAACTTGAGCTGCTTGAAGCTGATGCCCAGAAACGGCTCACCAAATAGCCTGAATGGTTAGTGCTTTGTTAGTGCAGCCTTGTGCAATTAAAATGATTGTTTGAATATAAAGTTATTCCATAACATGGAACATAAATGCTTGGCTCTCCGCGCAAAGCATTTTGGGACATATCTGCCTCTTCTTAGGGCTTTCATTTCTTCTCATACACTTTGTAGACACTTATTCTCTTACGACCCTCGCCCATTTTCAAAGAACCGTGGTGGGTGAGTTTTAATGACTGTCTGAAACTGTAGCTCACCACAGATATATGCCTGAAAGTGCGCATGTTCAGTAAAACATAGCTAACTGGACGTGTACGAAGGACAGCCTTACGTAAACATATCACCAGAATGATTGACAATTAGGAGGACCACTTATTTAGATGATCCACCCCGATATAAAAGATAGACCTCTATACATTTAATTAATAATGCTTTTCATCTCAAACAAAAAAAACATCATAAATATGTTGCCTGAAAGTTAGTAGGGAATCAAAATAAATACAAAATAAAATCAGATTATAAACATGTATTTGAGTAACTGTTATGATACAGAACAAAATTTATAGTCAGAATGATGTAATTGGTTTTTCCTGAACTGCTTTCAGGAACTCTGATAGCTCAGTGTGAAAAACAGCTGATCCCAGGCTGTTCTCTACTTCCAGTCTGTTCCTCTGAAAATATAAGAATATCAGAAAATCTATAAGAAAATCTTACCTTGTTGTTTGATAAGTTTGTAAAATTTTTCAATTGGGTCATCAGAAATCAGAACAGATCCCAGCCCTATTTTATTTTACTACCTAAGAAATAAAATATTTTAATGTACCCCTTGCAATGCACTCGCAGACCACTAGGGGCACGCGTACCCCTAGTTGGGAATCACTGTTGTAGATGTTTGGATGTATCTACTAATTTCAACACAATGAGTTAATTGGCTGGGGAAGGCCATTGTGTCTGATGAGTGTAGAGACGACTCATCCCTTCACATAACATTCTGTGATTCAGGACTTGTTTGAACGGGATTTAGATTATACTGTTCAGTTTATGATGGAAAGTGTGTGTGTGTGTGTGTGTGTGTGTGTGTGTGTGTGTGTGTGTGTGTGTGTGTGTGTGTGTGTGTGTGTGTGTGTGTGTGTGTGTGTGTGTGTGTGTGTGTGTGTGTGTGTGTGTGTGTGGTGGGAGGAGGCGGCAGGTGGGGGTGAGCTAACCCAGGTAAAAAAGAAAAAAGGCTACACCTCAAATGGCCCTGACGAAGTATAGATGAGGAAATGAGCACATGCTGAGAGCAGCTGTAAAACAGGCCTATATATGAAACACACAGCACAAAGGTGTTTCATATAACTTCACACACGGAACTGATCTTCACTAACTTTGTCCTGCGGTTTGGATTAGATGGGAGTGACATGAACTTTAGCTGTGCTAAAATAATACATGAATTTATGTGAACTGAAGAAAAGAAGAAAAAACTGATTTTACTGTTGGCAAATATATATATATATATATATATATATATATATATATATATATATATATATATATATAATATATTTTTTTTTTAAATTTCACTTAAAAACCCATATTTTTATTTTTGATTAGTATTTTATCTATATTAACCACAAACGGATGTTATTTGGGGAAAAATACTGCTCTTTGAAATATGGCATTCATCTCCCTTTTCATCTGATGCATGGTGGTGGCAGCATTATGCTGCAGGAATGCTGTCTCTCAAGAGCAGCAGCAAAGCTTTATAGAAAAGTAAATGAAAATCATGTTTATCTTCGCTTTACCTCCTTAATGCCATAAGGAAGTAAAATTCAGACACCTACACGCATCGGGAGGACTGTATAAACATTCTGGAAAATCCCTGATGAAGATTTACTGTTTTATCGGCCTCTCTGAGGAGTTGATTCACAACACGATAATTGAATAAAATCTGGAGATTGTCACATCTTTTTATTTAACAAATATGTCTTGCATTAAGAATTTGTTGCATTTCAATATTTTTGTGTGCTAGTAAAATGCTAAAACGTTTATTCGTCCGGTAGCTTTCCCCCTTCTTGCCGGAAACATGGTATCCCTCCCCTCAGCCGTTTTCCTCAGTGAGCCTTCTCTATATGCTGTAATTCTGATCAACCGTGAAAGTGATATTAATTTAATGGAACATGGAAAATGCGCCAAAAATCTGAATTTTTACTATTTTTTACTATTTGTTGACACAGACTCCTTGTGGGGAAAAAGGGAACCTCATTTTAAATGAGGTAAATGTGTATTTATCTGTGTGCAGTGCAGTGGTACACGGTTAAACTTGTCCCCGTGGTTTTCAGACCAGATAATATAATCAGATTTATTATTTTTTGTGCTTTTTATTTTATATAATCACTGCCTGCTCCAAGTAACCTTACATTAAGTCAAATACAAAATAAGATCATACAATGATAATTTGCAAAAATGCTGCACTGCTCACAGGCAGAGACTGATTTTGCCCATTCTGGAGGAGTCCTGCATGGCCTTTCAGTCCAGGGCTATAGACCATTCGTCTGACTTCTTTTAGAAAAGGAAATGTTTTAATAAATACATAGATGGAGAGCTTAACCTCGCCTGCAAAGATACAGCCTTCTCTGTGGATGTTTTTTAAAGGCATCTCAAACACGCTTTTACGCATCACTATATAAGCTGTCTTCAGACCTTGCCTCAAAAGAGATCAATAAAGTTGAATTATTATTATCCACAACAAAACCAGTCGTGTTCATTTTTGCTAGTATTACTTTGATTTTCTTTGTTTATATTTTTATTTATTTATTTATTTCCTTTTAGTTTTATTAGAATAAAGTAATTTTTGCTAATTGTAAAGAGATATTAGAGCCAGAATCAACACATCTCTCAGCATTTAAAGTATGTGGATTTATAAATATTACAGAACAAAATACATTCTGTGACAATGCAAGAAAAAAAAATCAAATGAGAAATTAAAATAAACTAATGCATTTAACATGACATATGCAGGTTACTTTAGAGGTCTTAATTTAAAGTTTTCTTTGTGTTTAAAAAACTCCAACACAGTTTCAAGGGGATGAGTTTTGTTTTTAGAAATTACAAGTGTCTTTGTGTCCATTAAAGGAGAAGTTCGGTTTTTTACACTTTAAGCCCATTTTCTGTAGTGTCCAGGATGAAATCGAATGATCGACACCAAAAGTTTGACAATTGCTCCTGTCTCTGCTTTTTGGCTCATTTAGAATCAACCCCTGGCTGCTTTAGAATGGCTAGCATAGAGCATGTCCGATAATGTCCTTAAAACAACCTTAAACGTTCTTTTTTTAAAATATGCTACTCACCGTGTCGTCAGCGCTGTTCAATGACGTTCCAAAAAAAGTTTCGTGAAGAAAAAACGACGACTTAATTTTAGGTTAGCTGGAAATATGGGAAAGCAGCTAAACGTGTAGCACAGGGGTTGTAGCGTCTGCTTGTGTGGGTGTTTTGCAGGAAGGACTGATGTGTTTTTTAACTTCCTGGAGAGAAATAATTTAAAAATCTCAAGTCATTTTGGAAAATAAAGCTTTGAAACAAATGGGTCATCTATATTGACAAGGACCCAAAGCACACCAACAAAAATCATTTATAAAGTAATTTATGGTAGATGAAAATCATTTTTTGGAGGGACCACTTTATTCTGTCTCACTTAAAGACAAAACTTAAAAGTTAGCAACTTTAACAAATGGAGAACTTTCAGTGTTATGAATATATTTGCATGGGACTGTAAAGGGATTGTTTAATAAAGTCATTTAGATGCAGCTCAGTTCCTCTGAGCGGCATCTTTTATCCTAAGCAGGATAAAAGTTGCAGCTCATAATTAGCACAAACAACACTCAATAGAAGACCACCCAGATCAAATGCTAAGCATCCCCCCCTTAATCTCTCTTACATGCATGGACCAGTATATTCCAAAGTGTCAAACCGCTTTTCTCTTTTCCCCCTTTCTGGTTTGTTTTGTAATCTAAAAATAATTTGAAGTATTGAGGTTTTTCCATCTTCCATCAGCAGCTCCGAGACCCTGAGGCTGCTGACGTTCCCGGTGATTATCCCCCACGTCTCTCTGTCTATACCAGATGTTATTTATTTTAACTAATAAAAAGCGACTGGAGTGACCTTTTTTTTTTTTTTTTCTTTAATATATCAGCCAGACTAATATCAATGATGTCTGCATTTGAGCAGACGCCAGAGAGAAACACGGGGAACTTTTTGGAAAAAAAACAAACAAAATTGAGGGAAATTCCACCCTTTGTTTTAATAACCAGCTATGAAAAGTTATTTCAATAAAGAACTTGTTTCTAGCTCAGAAGCTATTCTTGTCTATTAGCTTTTTCTCCACCTTATTGTCTTTGAATATACATATAAATGAAGGAAATATACATAAAAAAAAGACTTAGTCACTACTGGGGAATTTTAAATGGGAATATCCCAAATCCTTTGTGTTTTAGCACCAATTCTTAATTTTTTTCTGTTTGTTGACCAATTGTTCCCATTGTTTGTCTTCTAGCTCAGTAAGATGTTCTTCCTGTTTCCTGACCCACATTTCAAGAAGACCAAACACAAATGGAGGATCATCAGCCCCACTCTGCTGGCAGAATACGCCTACACGCTGAGAGTCGGGGTATGTCGAAGCGATACCTCTGTGAGGAGAAAAGAATAACTAGATATGCTTAAAGAATTTTGATCTAAACACATGTTGGTGAATAAATCAGAACTACAACTAGGGTTTTAAAATGAGCGATTCAGTTCAAAAATAGTCATAGATTCGTTAAATCGAAATTCAACATCTCAAGCCTATTTAAAATGAAATATGGCTGATAAATCATACAGATTAAATTGGATGAAATATTACCATATTTTCCAGACTATTTCCTACTTTTTTTAAACGCTTTGAACCATGCAGCTTATAAGAAGGTGCAGATTTTCTGTGGATATTTCCTAAACGCCAGAGGGGGAAGTCAAAGAGGAAAAAATGTCCCAAATTCAAACATTTTGACATTTTGCTGCATTAAAGTTGCCCAAACCAATAAACAGACTAGGCTCAACTCCTGCAGAGCTGAAATAACGAGCTGACGAAGCCCCAAATCTCAGTAGAAGCTCTTACTGCTGCGAGCCAACAAGCTAGTGGGAGCATTCTTCTTTGTCCCTACTCTAGGGGTGATATGTAGAGCTCCCCTTACAGGTTTGGTGGGAGACAGTTGAGTAGATATGAGCGGCTTATAGTTAGGAGCAGCTTATATATGTAAGTTTACTTTTTTTTTTTTTATTTAATGGGTGCGGCTTATAGTGGTGCTCTCTATACTCCAAAAAATACGATATTTTCCACCTTAGGTGTCATGGTGCATATATTCATCATGTGAAGACTGAAGACTTTCACAGTTGACCTGCAGTCATTAATTGCATTAAAGGTCTAAAAAAGTTTCTAAAAACAAGCTGGTTGCCAAAAGGTTGAGTGGAAGGAAAAATGTGGCGGTATAATTCAGTGAAATCAGGTTAAGCAGGTAGCCCAGCATGCAGCTGGTGGAAGTCCAGCCCTGTCAAACATGTGTGCTGGTGTTGGTTTCTGAGAACAATAGGTGGCTTATGCCTACATTTTAATTTGTTTTTCCTCCACTGACAGATTTGTGCGTATCAGTGGCGATTTCTCAATTAATTCTAGAGAGGCTAAACCTCCCCTGTAAATTTGGTACAAAATTCGTAAAATATGAATCGTCAAACTTCATAAATATAGTCATTAAACTGCATTAAAAAGCAGCAGGGCGCTGCCTTCGAGCCCCTATGAGAAATCCCTGTTTAGCTTTCAGCCTCAGTCTGTTGAAGTAAGCAGTGAGAAAGTAGAGCAATGGCTTCAAGTGAGGTTAAACCTCTGGTTAAACAGCTGGGCAGACACTATGATTTTTTTTTTTTGCCCTTTTAGGGCCGATTCTCGAATCGTGCGAGAATTTTTCGACTTTTCTCCCCGATCAGGAATCGTAAGGTCAGGAGAACATCAAAGATGTTTTAAATTCAGTAGGCCATCTTAAGGTTGCTTCGGAGCATCAGGCTGCACAGGGTGAGAACATGCATCGTGAGCTGTGAACTTTTAAACCCTCCGGTTTCGTCTTATAGTTTGAGCTGTAGCTGCATGCAATGATTGGAAATATCAGTCTATGCCTGGCTTAAGGGGATCTATGGAGCAGGGGCGGGTCATGAAGCTGGTTACTCTATCCTGATTGGCCAACATAGTTAATGTTTTGTGACTGACAGTGGCCAGACAGTGAGGTTTTCCTCATGAGTCCAGAGGGCAAAGTCATCATTCAGGCAGAACTGTCATCTTGTGCTGAACTCTTGCAGTAGTTCCTGGAGTTTATTATTTCAGAGAGCTTCACCGCAGCTATTTTCACCCGTTACAGTGATGTATTTGATGTATTTCAACATTTAATGCAATATGTGATGTTGAGATTAAATTAACACCATTGAGCCTCCCGTTTCAGAGAGCAGAAGCCGCTCCTGGTGTGTATTTTGGGGAGTGTGTCAGTGTGGCCTTGGGCGCTGGCGCACCTCCATGCCTTCAGCGCTTGGAGGAGAGACAGTCAGGAATCTGCCTATTTATAGAGCTCCTTGCATACCCTATCATTTAGTCGTCCCTTTGGGTTGAATTTTTAATGGTACCCCAAACACTAAACAGTGAAGTCCTCCAGATGGGTTCCTCTCTGTTGAAATGATTCAGAAGAAAACAGCCTGATAAGCAGGACATTCACACAGTGGATCAAAACCCCTTTTTACACAACTTTTTTCCAATTAAGACGTATTGTGATGGTAATATTTGAGCCACAGGGATTTATGTGTGACTCTAGTGATGACACAGTCCCTTAAATCATACGTGCTGAAATGCACCGCTGTGCATTTTTTTTCCCACTGATCAGTTTTCTAAGAAATCCTCTTTTCTGGTTATTTTATCTTCCCAGTCTCCAAAGTAAACTACATTGACACAGGTGATTCACCTCTGTCCTGTGTGTTTGCTATTTTTACCTTCTTTTTCTTTTACATAAATTACTCTGTTAGGGTGGTGAAAGCATCAACTTTGAGCCCACATACGTAACTTTTCAGAAAAAAGAAAAAAAGAGAACAAATTGTATTATCAGGGTAAAAGTTTGCTTCTAAGATAACTGAGTCGTTGTTTGAACAACAGTAAAAGTTTGTTAACCTATTTTGTTCCCAGAAGTGTACTAATGACCTATGTGTGTGTTTTTCTTTTCTTTTTTTTTTTTTTTTCCTGGTGGTGTTAGGGTTTGGTGTATACCATTACAGATGTGGAGGAGGTCCACCTCTGGATGGTGAAGCACTTCAGCGAACATCCACTGTTTGCACGTGTCTCAGATGAGGAGCTGGTATGTTGACCTGAAGCTGACAATTCATCGCATAACATCCACAAGCTTTAGTGTGTTTTCAAGTTTTTCATGCAATAGAGCATAAAACAAACATGCAGCTGAAACTTTTCGTTAATATGATATCTGTCCGCTTTATTTTGCATTTCTCCCACCTAAAATCCTAACATAACATGGTAAAGGTTGTGGTTATAATGTGAAAAAAATGGGTGATGTTCAACTGCTGGGAATGTCTTTGTAGGCTTCTGTATTTTGGCTTTTTTATTTTCAGAAATAAGCAAACTGGTCTCGCTTTTATCAGCTGTTAGCATCTGATGTGAATTATAATATCTGCAAGTGATCTTTGAACAGGAGTGTGGAAAGATCACAAAGTGTCAAACAGCTGCAAAGTCCAAATGAACACTGATTCTGATGTTTGTCTTAAACGCAGCTCCTCTGGGGGATGTTTGGGGGGTTTCAGGGCCAAAGTTGTTCAAAGTGGACCAACTTAGGGCAACTTTCACTCTGGTGTGATTTAGTTTTTTTCCCTCAGACCTCTATTCCTAATAAGTCTTCCGTCTTCTTTTGGCAGGTCGATGACATCATTATAAGCCGTCTGAGCTGCTGCACTGAGGAGGGAAAGAAGGTGCAGAGGAACGGCGGGAAGACTTTTCTCGCAGTTTTTCGGAGGATTGAGGAGTCATTTTAAAATCATACACTTTGGACTTAAATCAGATCCTACCTGGACATTAATCCTCATTATCCTGTCTGGAGCTTTCTGTTGTTAAAACACCATGGGAAAATTATAGTTTAACACAAACCTCACCATATTCCAATAATTTTTATGTTTTTTTGTTTTTTTTTAAGTTAAGTTGAATAGTGATTCAGTAAACTATGCAGCTATTATAAGAGAAGACCTCAGTGTTTTCTTTAAGTTTTAAAGCTGCTTTAAATGACAAAAACTGTCTTCCTGATGAGCAGACTGATCCTTCTGCAAACTGTGCTTTGGATTGTTGTCTGGCTGCAAGACTCTACAGCTAAGACAGGGAGAGAAGTCAGATTTGATATAATGAAGAATCATTCTTATCTGTTAGTGCATCTTCAAAGTGAAGTTCAAATCGTAGCAGGGTGCAGCAGGAACAGTAGCACACAGTGTTCGTTGTGTGATTGTTAGCTGTATATTACAGGTCGGTATGCGGATCTGTCAGGAGTCTGGAAACGGGACGGCGCAGGTCTGGAAAGGCTTTCTGCTGCTTCAGGCTGTGGTGATTATCAACAGGACAGCACATGTCGTCATGTTCATAACCCAAACACAAGCAAAAAATGAGCTAATCAGAGGATTACTAGACTGTAACAACTAGAAATCCTTCCTGGGACTGTGATGGGTCCATTTTATCAGATTTTGCTTTCCATTTTCTTTTTTATATACTGTTTCATTTAAATTAAACTTTTTTTTACACAAGATGGTAATGAGATGTGTCAAATGTGCTATTTCTTTTTACAGCCAGGTCACTTTTAAACATATAAAAACTCCTGAATGGCAAATTAAATGAGGAATGTTTTTAAACCTCTGTATACCCTAAAAACAGAAATGTCTTAACCAGAATACCTTAAATGTAATTTAATGGGGAACAATGTTCTAGCTGCAACTCCAGGGAAAACCCCAAAGTTAACCCAAATTGACATTGGAGAACAAATGCTTCCCACAGCTCCTGTGGTTTCAGTTTTTCCAGTTGACTGCAGGATTCTCTGCATGTGATGTTGCACTTTATGCACGGAGTAAAAAAATAAGAAAACATAAAGGAATAGAGAATGACCCAGTGACGCCCAAGGCGCTGACCTGGCCTCTAAATTCCCCAGATTTTAGCCCAGCGAAGCATCTCCAGGATAGGCTGGAACAAGTCCCGATTGACAAGAATCCCACCTGTCGTTCCACAGTACCCAGTGACAGATGTTTGGTAAATCCATAAATTTCTCCCCTTGCAATGGGTCAGAGCTGTTGGAGAAGCATGACTTGGATTTGAGAGAAACAATCCCGCTCTGTCTGATACTTCTGGCTTTGGTCAGTCCCAATTCCTTTGCTTTGATAGCGAAATAATCTCAGGGGAATGGTCCCATTTAACCATAACAGTTTTTATTGATTTTCTGAATACAATCCATCCTCAGTTATTGCCAAAAAATATCTGCACTGTCTTTTAATTCCTAAGACAAAATAACCCCGTCTTTAACAGGTTTTAAGACTATACATGTTACATAGATGCACAAAAAAGACATCAGATAAAACAAAAAATCCATAATGCTGGAAAAAAATGTACTTATTGTAGGGAAGACTCTAGAAAGACACTTGGCAGCTATTAACCTTTAAAGAGTAATTTCTATGGATTCTGTACCTCTTAATTTAGAGAAATGTTGGCCTACAGTTTCTCTACTAGTTGCATGACTCTGCATCTGGAAGGAAAGATGGCCTCAAATTTGCATGAAGAACACTTTCACGTACAAATGAGCTTCTGGTCTGATCCTAGACTGCAAGGCAGACGGATCTGGTTACTGTCTAACAAGCCCTCACCATCCCCTCCCCACCACTGTGATTGACAGCATGAGATGTTTGTGCAGATGACCCTTTTTTTTTCTCAGATGTCTTTTGTTTAGTCTGATGGGTCTGAATAGCTGTTGTTTTAGAATAAGACCTGCTATATCAGGACAGAAGATGCTGAGTTGCAACTTTTCAGTTTCTGTGAGTGCATGGTATGACCTAAAGGGGAATTAGTTGGGCCATCAGCGCCTCAGGTAATTGGTATCTTGCTGTTTTAGCTAATGTATAGATTGTTTGCATTGTTCTTATGTATCATCCCATGTGCTCTTCTTAAAGGTATGCATTCAGCTTTATGTGTTCTTGCATTAATTCCTCCAAATTCTCAGATTATATCCTTATTGATAAAATAGCATCACGGTTTCTGCTCATTTGTTGGCCATCCATCCATGATTTAAACTTCTCAGACCTTCTTCTTTTGGACTGATGCAGCACATTTAGTGGATCCATACATCAGTGTCCTTTATACCAGTTTCCTGTGCTTGGCTAAGAGGTGGCACCTAGTGTGGTTTCCTGTTTCTGTATCCTATCTCCTTCAAGTCTCAACATGGTATGCCTTTAGAGATGGTGGTATGAGTTACCCTTGGCTCTCTGTTGTCTCAAACCAGCTGGTCCAATCTCCTCTGAACTCTGACACCAGCATTCACTCAGCCCCAGCTCAGATGGTTGTCTGTGAAATTCTCAGACCAGCACCTCCTGAAATGTCTTTAAACAAGTCACTTAAATTCTCATTTTTTGCATTGTTTGGACTTTAGCAAGTATATGTAAGCTTCATTTACTTAACAAGGTCAGGAAATATCATGCTGAGAGCATCAGGGTATTGCTGCTTGAGCTGGAATTATTTCATCCTCAAACACTTATTGAAAACCATTTAAAATGCCACCCGTCACCATATGGTTTGCTAATAACAAACTGCATTCATCAGATTCTCTTGGTGATGTGGACATTAATTGCTTCAATAAAGCCTCGATGCCGATGACGTACTCCTATTTATTTCACTTATTGCTACCACGTGGCAACAAAGCCCTTTCATCCTGCAGAAACTGCGTCATGCGATGGCAACATTAGGTCATCAATGAGGACTTTGTGGGGTTGCTGTGCATGGGGATCTAGAAAAGCCACCTAATAGGCAGCAGGAACGTTGGCTGAGACTATTGTCTTTGCAGAAAATTCATCACATCTGGATGTCTGAATGTTGTTTAGGTCAGGGGTTAACCCCTCTGAATGTGTTGACAAGGGCAGCTGCCTGCTGCTGTCATCATTACGTAATCATTACAGCTCGACTTGGCCTTTTTTTACTAATTGGGGAAAATAAAGTGTGGTCACCTGTACGTGGAAACCTTCCTGACAAATGGCTTTGGCTTAAAGCTTCATGGATTTTCACTACAGCTAGTTAAAGTTAGTTTTTTTTTAATGTAGCTTTTATGGCTGCTCAGTGCGCAGTGGTTAGCACGGCTGCATTACAGCAAGAAGGTCGCGGGTTTGATTCCTGGCCCGGTGTCTTTCTGCATGGAGTTTGCTTTTTTCCCTGAGCATGCATGGGTTTTCTCCGGGTACTCTGGCTTCCTCCCACAGTCCTAAAACATGAATTTTAGGTTAACTTCTCTTCCTCCATAGGTGTGAGTGTGTGTGTGAATGGTTGTTTGACTTGTTTGTCTCTGTGTTGCACTGCGATGGACTGGCAACCTGTCCAGGATGTACTCCGCCTCTCGCAACCCAACTTGGGATTAAGCGTGTCGAAAAATGGATGGATGTGGCTTTTATTTAATTAAGTGTTTAACCATAAGCTTAGCCTGGGGGAAAAAAAGCCTTTTCAGATTTTAACTGTTTGGAAACCATTTTTGATATCTTATTTTTTTTTATCTCTTAAATATTTTAGGCCCTTAAAGTTCTAAGAAATGCTTTGCACTATTTACTTTATTCAACAATAATTTGAAATTTTTCAGGGTGCCGAACAAAAAGTCACAATAGCCCTTCGGCTTTTGGTGTTTTGTAGAAATTTTGAGGAGGAAAGATGTCAAATTATCTTAGTGTGCATTAGCAAGTAGTAGAAAATAAGTTAGTATTTTTATTATTATTTGTATAACACATTTAAGCAGCATGACAATTGAAAGTGCTTTACGTCATAAAAACATCAGAAAAATGGGCTGTAAGATATTTAAAAAATATAACTCAAATATATATATACACACACACACAAAATCACTACAAGATGTTTCTGATAAGGTTTCTTCTTTAATTTAAAACATTCAGTCAAAATGTGGTGAAGCAATAAAAAAAAAAAGAGGACACCGGGAGTTCAAAGCTTAGTTTGATTTACGTAGAAGTTCAAATGTTGGATGTAGAGCAGGTTTAGAGTGAATTAAGATTACTCAGAAAACTGAGCTGCTGGAACAACCCGACCCAATCAGTACTTCAAAACAGAACAAACACTTTTTAGTGGTCTTCTCAACCCCAATGAAAGAAAGTCAGAAACAGAAGTCAGAGAACAAAAAGATGAATGTCAATCATTTCAAAAAAATAAAATAAAAAATCTTAACCAGAAGTACATGACTAGCCTGATTGGCTCCACAGTTTAACAATACACATCAGACCACATCCTTTTTCCTCCCCTAGGAAAACCTGCTTTAGACAACTACTGACATAAAGCAAAAAACCCTTGAGTGTCCTTACATTTTTAGTATTGATCACAGAAAATACAATGAAATAAAATGTCTGCACAGATAGATTTGCTCTTCTAAGATAATTAAAATTACTATCTATTCACTTCAAATTATTTCTTCAAACAACAATTTTCAAACATCAGTCTTTAATCATTTTTATTTATTTTGGGGAAATTAAATTATTTGGACACAGTTAACGTAAATAATCTTGTTACACTTTTAGCAAAAGACAAAAGGGAATTTTTAAAAATAGGAAAAGGTTAAGACACCCTACCCCTAACACCTGGTCTTCCAACTCTGGTTAAAATAACAGTGAGATGCTCTTTGTACCCATAAACCATTCTCTGACGGCGATCTAAGTTTGTCCCACTCGAAAGCTCTTTACAAATCAGACCCACACGCTGTCCTTAAGATCAGGATGTGGAGTTTAACTAAGCCCAGGACTTTCAGTTTTTAATTCTCAACCAGTTTTTTTAAATTGAAACCGCAGCGTTTTTGGTCCATTGTCATGTTGCAGGGTTCAGCTCTTCTTTATCTGTGTTTTTATCTGTTTTCTTGGTCTTTTTTTAGATTGTCTGCAGATTTGAGTTGGGAATTATTTGAGTTTGTTTTTTGTTTTTTTTTTTGGGGGGGGGGGGGGGGGGGGGTGCCAAAAAACACAAATAACACACTATAAGTACATATAAGAAACATCAATAAAGATAGCCCAGAAAAGAAGAAAACTAATATGCCCAACTCACATTTAAAGAAAAGATTATTCTTTTCTTTAATGTAGCATTTTCTTCAAACTTCCTTTGGTGGAGACTTGTTCTGCTCTTGTGTTGCAAAGCACACCCATACCATGATGCTCCTGGCTCCATGCTTTATGGTTAGTATTGGTATTTTTTTCAGCAATGCTGTTTTTCCTTCTCTGTCTTTTTTCCAAATATTAAACTTAGTCCAGTGTCAGATTTTTCATCTTCCTTCCATGCGTTCAATAAAAAAAAAAAAATACTATTGATTACTATGATGAAATTTTAGGGTTTTTGAAAACTTCTTAAAACATCATATAATCTAATTTTAGGGTGGACTTGCTTGAGCAACTAGACACGTCTCAAAAATTGCTGCAGTTCTCTTTCTAAAGGTGTCAAAATAAATGCCAGAGGTTTGAACAGGACAAACTTCCTAAAATGCAGAAGTTACTTTTTCACCACAAGAACCTGATGTAATACAGAATG